CGGGCCTTACAGGGCCGTCCACACCGCAGGGGACCCGGGCCTTACAGAGTCGTCCACACCGCAGGGGACCCTGATGTTACAGAGCCGTCCATACCGCAGGGGACCCAAGCAGCAGGAGGTCATGTGCCACGTCCACCAGGAGAGCGGGAACCCTGTGGCCCTCATCACTGTCCCTGGCCTTGTGTTGTAACTCCCCGCCCATGGAGGGGTGTACAGCCCTCAGCCGTGAAGCCTCCTCATCTGTGGGGCTTGGTTTCTGAAGACAGGGCCTGGGCCATCCCCAGTGCCTGCCAAGCCCTTGACCTCACGGGACCCTGCAGCCTCCCAGTCACTGCCCATAGCTGCCGTGAAGAGCCCAGCACGCACACCTGGGCTCACCTGGAACGCCCACGTCATGGATGGGCACCAGAGGGGCCGGGCCCCCCAGGCCACCATGGTTGAGCAATTGAGAGGATGAATGGAGAAGGGACATGTGGTTCACCTGCAGGTGTCAAGCAGGGGTCCCCAAACTGGGACTCTCAGGGGCACTACCCTGAGCCCGGGAAGCCAGGACGCTGAGGCCCCGAGTCTGGGAGAGGGGGCATTCCGGCTACACCCCAGCACACCTGCTCCTGGGGAAGGCAGTGCCCGGAGGGAAGGGGTGGATGAGTCAGTCTGAGCAGGAGAGGTGCGAGGCGTGGCAGCCAGCCTTTGCTGTGGGACCTCCCTTTCCCTGGAGTCCCCGGTGGGAAACGTGGCTCATCTCCCATTAGCCCGTCCAGGCTCACAGCAGCTCCTCCTGGGCTGGAGATGGGGTTCACCCCACTCGACCCGTGGCAGCAAGTGGCATCCCAGGGAAGGTTGCCCTTTCTCCCTGGCAGGAGCATCTTCTCACCGTGGTGGAAACTGCCGGGCTGAGGGTGTGGTCGTCCTGGGTGACAGCACGGGGGGCCCCACAGCAAGGCAAAGCGGGGCACAGGCCCAGCCAGAACCAGGAGTCCCTGAGGCATCCTGTCTGGGCAGCCTCACACACACACAAGCTCTTTCTTTCTCCCCTCAGACTTCAAGCCCCATTGAGGTGGCCGGCCGGGCTGGTGCGGTTCACACACTCCTGCAGAAAGCGCCTGGGGTAGGTGTCCGTGGCGCCCGTTCCCCACCCCAGGCGATGTCATGCCCCGGCCCAGCCCTGTGTGGACTGGTGGCCGCGGCAGACGGGCTGTGTCTGCTGCACTCCCAGGATTCGGCCTCCCGAGGGGCCTGCACCTAACACTCCTGTCCTGTCTCCACAGGTGTCCGACCCGTACCGGGCGGTGGTCAGGGTGAGTGCGGTCGGGAAGGCCTATGGCGGGGGAGGACCCTGGTGCTCCGGGGTGGCCGCGGGTGGGGGTGGTGCGTGCCCGCTGAGCACGCCGTCCTGTTGCAGAAGCCAGGGAGGTGGTGCGCCGTGCACGTGCAGATCGCCTGGCAGATCCACCGCCACCAGCAGAAGATGAAGGTGAGGCCCGAGGGCACCTCCCGGGCTGGTGCAGCGTGTGTGTGGACGTGTGTGGAGCCCTCGCCAGCCTGGGTGGTGCCTAGGCCGGGTATGAGGCTGTGTGTTCACACGGTGTGTGGCTGTGACCCTCGAGTGAGGTGCTTTACATGAGTCAGTGAGGCCTCGGGGCGGTGTGGGTGCCCAGGTGCCGCAGGTCCATCCCTTAGTGAGGGGTACTGGCTGGGCTGCGGGGAGCAGAGCGGGGGCATGGGGATGGCGCACCAGCTCCGCACGTCACTGGGGTGCACCGGGGTCCTCTGCCCTGCCCCCTCCTCTACTCGCTACGTGATTGAGTACCTGCTGTGTTCCTGGGTCTTCAGCAGTGACCCTGGCAGACCCTGGGCACTCACAACTGCTGTGCTCCTGGGAAGGCTGAGGAAGGAGGTGGCCCCATGGGCAGCTTGGTGAAGGCCCCACCAGGCTGGGAGCTTCGGGGCGGGAGAGGGTCTTGGGGGGCCAGGACAGCGGGACAGTGGCCTCAGCCACATGCACTGTTCTGATGACTCACGTCACCTCCGCATGTTAAGAACCGTTACATCCTCAATGCCTTTTGGGAGAGACCTCAGCAGGAGATGTCAGAGCGGAATCTTCTATCTTTATAACTGCATGTCTGGGGGTCCCTCTGGAGGACCAAGCAGAGGACTCTGAGGTGCTCCCGGGGGGGCTGCCTGTAGCACTGCTGGGAGACCTCATCACACCTGCTGTGTCCTCAGGAACTTGGGGCGTAGTTGTTCCTCAGCGGAGGTCAGATCCCATGAGAGGTCCAGGGAGAGGACACAGACGGTCGGCCCCACCCCCCCATCCTGCCCCCAGAGCACCCCAACATCATCACGGCCAGCAAAAGCACCGCAGTGCCAGAGGAAGCTATAGGGACCAGGAGGGGCTGGGCCAGGCTGGCCTGAGTGCAGGTCAGAGGCAGGACAGGTGCAGGCAGCAGAGTCACCAGGACACGCCCCTCCTGGCTCTGGGCCCCTCTGCTCCCAGAGGAGGGCACAGGTGGCCCCAGTCTGCCCCCAAGCCTGGCCCTGCCTCCCACAGCTGCCCTGGCCAGTGCAGTGGCCACAGCCTGGTAGTCACAGGGCCCCTGAGGTGTGGCCAGTGCAAGTGAGGGGCACACAGTTTTGTGTAATTTTAACAAATTTAGCTTTGAAAACTGAAACCAAATTCCGTCACCGAGAAACCCTGAAGCACATTTGGAACAACCTGGGCATCGAGTTTGCTTCTCAGCTTTTCTTTCTTTCGATGATTCCGTCGCCCAGCCTGGAGCACAATGGCGTCACCTCGGCTCCCTGCAACCTCCACCTCCCAGGTTCAAGCAATTCTTCTGCCTTAGCCCCCCGAGTAGCTGGGATTACAGGCGCACACCACCACGCTGGGCTAATTTTTGCCTTTTTAGTAGACAGAGTTTCTCCATCTTGGCCAGGCTGTTCTCAAACTCCTGATCTCGTGATGTACCTGCCTCAGCCTCCCAAAGTGCTGGGATTACAGGCGTGAGCCACCACTCCCAGCTGGAAAAAGGAAGTTATTTTCCATGACGATGCAGCATCCCAGTTGAGATTTGTTCAGAGACTCAATGCGAGGGCGTGAGATTAACCCTTTTTGCTGATCATGTGTAACATTTCGGTCAGCCTGAGTTAGGAAACACACCCTTGAAATTGATCCCACCTGGTTCCCCTCTGGACTGTGGCTCACACCCAGTCCCTGCAGCACCCCCAGGCCTGGGCCCTGTGGTCAGGGCTGGTCCCAGGCAGGCGGTCCTGACACGCTGTCTCCTCCCAGCAGATGCAGCTGGACCCCCACAAGTTGGAGGTGGGTGCGAAGCTGGACCTGTTCGGCAGACCCTCCGCCCCGGGCGTGTTTGCTGGGTTCCACTACCCGCAGGACCTGGCTCGGCCCCTCTTCCCCAGCACAGGTGAGACTGGAGTGGAAGCCATGTAGGGGAGGGGGGCAGAAACCTCCCTTTGCCACCCACCAAGCTCGCCTTCCCGTGCCGGAGTGACGGCGCTCTCTGGACCTCGGCACCAGCCTTTAATGCTCACTACTGATGCCAGGTCAGAGCCTGACAACTAGCCCACCTCCTCCCCACCAGCCTCCCCCGAGCAGACGGGGGCCTGGGGCTGGTGTTCCTCCCCACCACGTCCTGCCCACTGTGTCCCGGCGGGCCTTCAGCCCACTCCACATGGCTCTGAGGTGGCTGGTCCTGGGTGCCCCTCCTCTCTGCAGCTCCCTGTTCTGACCACCCGGCTGCACCAGAGGCAAAGGAGTAGGCGGCAGGGACCCAGGCCCGCGCCAGGCTGCCCCCTTCCGTCTCCCAGCCTAGCTTTCCCAGGAGGAGTCTGGCCTCTCGCTGAACAGCAGGAAGCTGCTCCCATGGCCGGGCCTGCCCGCCAGCGCGCCTTTCTCACGTGCATAGCTGCTCCGGGGGTCCCAGGACTGGTCCAGCTGCGATGATTTCCTGAGAAGAGCCCCAGGACTTGGCATGTGCTGTCCTCTGTGGCACGGCTGGGGTGGGGTCTGTGGGGAGCAGTGAGGGCTTCCCTGCTCTTCGGAGTCCCCCAGCCCCCCAGCAGCGCACGTGACCACACGTGTCGTCTGACAGCCGCATACATAACACGTGTGTGTGCACACATGAAGCATCCACATAGATGCAGTTACATATACACCTGCGTGTGCACACATGAAGTATCCCCATCCACATACAGACATGGTTACATACACACGTGTGCGCACACAAAGCATCCCCCTCCACATGCAGACATGGCTACATACGCACACGTGTGCGCACACGAAGCATCCACATGCAGACATGGCTACATACGTGTGCACATGTGAAGCATCCACATGCAGACATGGCTACATACACACGTGTGCACATGAAGCATCCACATGCAGACATGGCTACATACTTGTGCACATGTGAAGCATCCACATGCAGATATAGCTACATACGCACATGTGTGCGCACATGAAGCATCCACATGCAGACATGGCTACATACGCACACGTGTGCGCACACAAAGCATCCACATGCAGACATGGCTACATACACACGTGTACACGTGAAGCATCCACATGCAGACATGGCTACATACACACATGTGCGTGCACGAAGCGTCCCCACCCACATGCAGACATGGCTATATACCCACGTGTGCACACACGTGAGGCATCCCCATCCACATGCAGACACGGTTACATACACATGTGCACGTGAGGCATCCCCATCCATGTGCAGACATGGTTACATACGTGTGCACACAGGAAGCATCCACATGCAGACATGGCTACATACACGCACACACGTGAGGCATCCCCATCCACGTGCAGACACGGTTACATACACATGTGCACACATGCATCCACATTGCAGGCATGGTTACATATATGTGCATGGGTGTGCACATGTGAAGCATGCCCATCCACATACAGTTGACCCTTGAACCACACAGGCTAGGGCATGCCTCACCACGCAGTTGAAAATCTAGGTATGACTTTAATCCCCCAAAACCTTAATTCAGGCTGCTGTTGACAGGAAGCCTCACTAATGGCATAAACGGTTGGTGAGCACCGATCGTGTGTTCCACGTACAGTGGGCTGTGTTCTTACAACAAAGTAAACTAGAGAGAAGAGAACCTCACGAAACAGCGTGAGCAGGCATGGTGGTGCCCACCCAAGGTCCCGGCTACGCGGGAGGTGAGGCGGGAGGGTCACTGGAGCCCAGGAGGCCAAGGTTGCTGCGGGCCATGATGGCACCATGGCACTCCAGCCTGGGCAACAGAGCAAGACCCTGTCTCAGAAAACAAAGTCACAGGGAAGAGAAAATAGATCTGCCACTCACTGCGTGGAAGAGGATAAAGACCTTTATTCTCATCCTCAGCTGAGTGGGCTGACGGGGAGGAAGGGCTGGTCTTGCTGTCTCGGGCAGCAGGGATGGGGGAAAATCCGTGTCCAAGTGGGACCCGCACAGTTCAAACCCGTGTTGTTCAAGGGTCAGCTGCATGCACACGCACACACACACGGGTGCACGTGGGCTCTGCGCTGCCTGTCCCAGAGCCTTCCCCAGCACCCTCGTGTACACAGTCGTGTAGACAGCAGTGGCATCCCACTAGTCTGGGTTTCTCAGAAAGCGGAGGTCCAGGCTGCAGCTCCTGGCTGTCCGAAGTCTGGCTCCAGCCTTCAGGACGCCTGCTCAGTGTGGGGCCCAGTTTTGGGCCCTCAGCACTGCCCACCCCACCGACTCTGCTCCTTCCCTGCCTCCCTTCCCTCCTCTGGACCCCTGGTGGCTGTCCCTCAGTGTCCTGCCATTTGTCCTGCGAGGTGGGGCCTCCTCCATCCTCCACACCAGTGCTATGTCTGTCTCCACGTGCATGGCAGGTCTTGATGTCTGGCTGGCGGGGGCAGGATAATTCCTTGTTGCTCTTTTTTCCCTTCTGTATAAACTTTAAATCTGCCTGTTAGGTTCCAGCTTTTGCTGGAATTGGGTTATACGTATGTACATGAACCTGAGAGGAATTTGTATCTCTCTGGTGTCATTTTCCTATTCCTGAACGTGCCCTATCTCATTTATTTAGATCTTAGAGTTATTCACGGATGCTTTATATTTTACAATACCGTGATTGGAATTAAGTTACATTGCCCAAGCTGTTGCTAGAAAACAGAAGGGCATGTCTGCTTTGCAGATTTGTGTGCCATCTCTTGGTTTTGTAACTGGCAGTCTTGCTAAATTCTTACCAATGCAAAGAAACGTGTCAGTTCCTTCACACTTTCTGTGTAGAAAGCCACGTGTAGGACTGGATTGTTTGCTCCCCCGCGCTTTGTTCAGGTGAGCCCCCTTTCCTAAACTGCGTGTGCCTGGTTTTGCCACGGGGGCCGTGTTAGCCTTCTTCAGCGAGTTAGGGAGCTTCCCCTTCTGTTCTCTGGAGGAGCTCTTGTGAGGTCCTGTCCTCACTGCTTTGAAGGCTTGGCAGGCTCACATTTCAAGTCCAAAGTACTGATTTTTTTCCCCTTGGGCATGGTACTCCTCAAGCGTTCTGTTTCTTGAGTCCGTTTTAGTAACCCGAGTGTTTCTAGCAAGTTGATTTTGGGCCGGCTCCGTGGCTGTCGCTGTCCACCTGCCACGCCCGAACCCTGCAGGCCCTAGTCATTCTTAACCCTGCTTGGCTGGCCATCTCTCTCTTTCCCTTCATTAATCTCACCAGCAGTTCGTCTGTTTCACCCTTATTTTATTTACTTTTGAGATAGAGCCTCACTCTGTCACCCAGGCTGGGGTGCAGCGGCATGCTCTCAGCTCACTGCAACCTCTGCCTCCCGGGTTCCAGCCATTCTGCCTCAGCCTCCCAAGTAGCTGAGATTAACAGGCATGTGCCACCGTGCCTGGCTAATTTTTGTATTTTTAGCAGAGACGGGGTTTCACTATGTTGGCCAGGCTGGTCTCAAACTCCTGACCTCAAGTGATCCGCCTCAGCCTCCCAAAGTGCAGGATTCCAGGCGGGAGCCACTGCACCCGGCCAGTTTCACCCGTGCTTTAAAGGAGCCGCTCTGGCCTTGTTGCCCTCTCTGTGTGTTTTCTGGGTCTTGCTGTTTCCCGGCCTTTTCTAGCTTGATCTGGAGGTTGAGAGTGTAATTCTTGAGCTTCGCACAGCGCAGGCATCTGAGGTGATTTACTTCCTCCTCTGCCGGCTGCGCTCTCCACAGCTGCGTTCATAGCCTGGGGCGGGCTGTCGTCTTTGCTAGTTTAGAAGAGTACCATTAACTTTCGACCAGAGCTCAGTGGCGACCAGAATCTATGGCCATACCTGCAGTAGCCCACGTGGGAGGTGTGAGCACCCCGCTGTGGGGTCCCCAGGATCAGGGCTGGGAGGGAGCTGCGGTAACCTAGAGATGACGCCCTCGTGGTCTTTACCAGAAACCTGCTGTCTGCAGTGAGGGAGGCCCGCCCCCAGGCGCAGGGCAGCCCCCGACCCAACAGCACTGAGTCTCCTCCTAGGGCCAGGGCCCCACGTGGTTGCTCTCCACTGGGTTCCAGGGGTCTCAGAGGGTTGTTGGGGGGCCAGGGCTAATGTTGTCATGGCGCTGTGGCCTGGGCCTGTGCCCAGGAATGCCATGAGGGGCTGCCGTGTGCAGCACTCAAGACGGAATCATGTCCATCGGGCCTGAGGCCCAGCACCACAGTAAGTGAGGCCCTTTATCAGCTCCCAGGTGAAAACTCTGGGAGAAGAGCTTCAGGAGTGGTCCGATCCAGGTGCAACTTATTTGTGGACTTTGTCTCTGCCCAGGCTGGGGCTCCTTTGCTCCAAGGGCTGCACTCAGCACCTCCCTCCTTTCCCCCCTTGAGGTCCCAGGATGGCTCCGCTGTAGCCCCAAGTCACACCTCTGGATCGTGGGGTAGATTCCACCTCTTAACTCTGACTGGACACATTTCACCCCTCAGGGCATGCGAGACAACATGGGGTGGAGGTTCACAGAGGAAATTGGGGTTCCCCTGTGAGCAGAGCTGTAGATGGGAGGCCCTGGTGCTCTCTCCTGGCCTCTGTCAAACCTGGCTGAAACCCCTAGGTGCCGCCCATCCTGTCTCCAACCCATTTGGACCCTCAGCCCATCCCAGCAGCTTCCTGCCCACTGGCCCCCTGACAGGTGGGTGCCTCGTGCCAGCGCAGCCTGACTGGTTCCTCAGTGACCTCGGGGTGGGGGAAGTAGGTGGGAGGAAAGGTGGCCCCGGGGAGCCCCTTGGGTCATGTGGGCAGCACCCACCAGCCCCAAAGCCTCTGCAGCAGCCCCACCCAGCCAGGTGGAAGCCACAGCGCAGGCCTCACAGACCTGAGTCCGCGGTTGCCCCCACAGACCCCTTCAGCAGACCAAGTACCTTCGGGGGCCTCGGGAGCCTGAGCAGCCACGCCTTTGGGGGCCTGGGCAGCCACGCACTGGGTAAGTGACCGGGCCTGTGCCCCCCTCCCCCTCCCCCTCTGCCCACACCCCTCCCCCACACCTGTGTTCTCTGCAGGAACTCTGGTGCCTGGCTGACCTCCCTCCTCTCTGGGCTGGGCCTCCTTGGGGTACCCCCTTCTCAGTGTCAGCCCACCTGAAACCCCTGCTGGATTCTTCTGGGGAGGGGACAGACCTGACCTCATGCTCCTTGGCCTCCGTTCCCAGCTCCCGGTGGCAGCATCTTTGCCCCTAAGGAGGGCTCCTCTGTGCATGGCCTGCCCAGCCCCCATGACGCCTGGAACCGGCTGCACCGGGCCCCGCCTTCCTTCCCTGCACCACCCCCATGGCCCAAGTCTGTGGATGCTGAGCGAGTGTCAGCCCTGACCAACCATGACCGAGAGCTGGACCACGGCAAGGAGGAGCAGGAACGGTGAGTGCCTCCCAGTTACCCTCCCCAGTTCCTTCTCCCCCCCAGCTACCCTCCCCTCCCCAGTCCCCTCTCCCTCTGTTACTCTCCCCTCCCCAGTTCCCTCTTCCCCCATTCCCCCTCCCCTCCCACGTTCCCTCCCCCCAGGTTCCTCTTCTTACCCCTAGTTCCTCCACCCCTCTCCAGTTCCTCCTCCCCTCCCCAGTTCCCTCTCCCATCCCCTCTCCCCCTCCCTATTCTCTCTCCTTCCCCAATTCCCTCTCTCCTTTCCCATCCCCTCTCCCCATCCCCTCCCCATCCCCTCTTCCTCTCTCCCATCCCCTCCCCCTCCCCATCCCCTCTCCCTCCCCATCCCCTCTCCCTCTCCCCCATTCCTTCCCCCCTCCCTCTCCCTCTCCCTCATCCCCTCCCTTCCCCCATCCTCTCTCCCCTCCCCCATAC